AGAAGAGGGGTTGTGAGGGGGTTTGGTATTTAGAGAATGGATCAAAGTAGAATGACATGGAAAGAAATAAAAAATCTTGGGGGAAAGGGAAAGGAGGGGTAGGGGTCTCCTCGAAAGGGTTGGAGAGAGGGGGTAAAGGAGGTTTTGTGGGCAAGGGGCTTGGACTTCCAGCAAGCGTGCGTGAGCGTGTTAGATAGGAGTGAATGGAGACGAATGATACTTGGACTGACGATCTGTTGGAGTGTGAGCAGGGTAATATTTAGTGAAGGGATTCAGGGAAACCGGTTATTTTCATATAGTCAGACTTGAGTCCTGGAAATGGGAAGTACAATGTCTGCACTTTAAAGGAGGGGTTTGGGATATTGGCAGTTTGGAGGGATATGTTGTGTATCTTTATATGTGTATGCTTCTAAACTGTTGTATTCTGAGCACCTCTGCAAAAAACAGTGATAATGTGTGTGTGGTGAAAGTGTTGAATGATGAAAGTGTTTTTTGGGGGGTTTTTCCCTTTTCTTTTTTGGGTCACCTGCCTCGGTGGGAGACGGCCGACTTGTTGAATATATATATATTTATATATATATATATATATATATATTATATATATATATATATATATATATATATATATAAAATAATGTTTCTCCTATGTGCCGATTATTTGTGTTTTTCCAGTCACAGTATTTTGCCATTTTGTTCTTCAGGGCTGCCGCTCTTCAATATAATTATGAGTAACAATAATGATGATAATTACCTCTTGGAGCTGAGTGACTTCTTGAAGGAGAACTTCCTTGTTGAGGTTCTCCACGAAGATCTGGTTCTCATTTGCTTGGCTCACAATGACATCGAGGTCTTCGAGTATCCCTCAAGTTTGTCCAGCTGGTCTTGCGTGGCGTGGCCATCGTTCACCTCCTGGTTCACTTCCTGAATGCCATCCAGTGTGATGGTCAGCTGGGAACACAGGAATTCAGTCTCGTTTGAGGTTGAGAGGCAAAATTTTGAATCGTTCTCTTCAGCCAGGAAACTTCGAAGTCTGGGAGATCGCAGTCTAGCTGCTTCAGATTTTGTAGATGGTGGGGTAATTGATGTGGTGGTGGTTGATGTCTGTGTTGATGGTTTGTTGTTGATGTTGGTAGTTGATTGTGTTGGTTGATGGTGTGGTGGTTGATGTTTGTGTTGTTGATGTGGTAGTTGATTGTGTTGTAGATGGTGCAGTGGTTGATGTCTGTGTTGTAGATGGTTTTAGTGGTGATGTTTTTTGTTGTTGATGTGGTAGTTGATGCCTGTGTTGTTGATGTGGTAGTTGATGTCTGTGTTGTTGATTGGTGTGGTGGTTGATGTCTGTGTTGTTGATGGTGTGGTGGTTGATGTCTGTGTTGATGGTTGTTGTTGATGTGGTAGTTGATTGTGTTGTAGATGGTGTAGTGGTTGATGTCTGTGTTGTAGATGGTGTAGTGGCTGATGTTTGTGTTGTTGATGGGGGTAGTTGATGCCTGTGTTGTTGATGTGGTAGTTGATGTCTGTGTTGTTGATGGTGTGGTGGTTGATGTCTGTGTTGTTGATGGTGTGGTGGTTGATGTCTGTGTTGTTGATGGTGTGGTGGTTGATTGGTAGTTGATGTCTGTGTTGTTGGTGTGGTAGTTGATGTCTGTGTTGTTTGATGGTGTGGTGGTTGATGTCTGTGTTGTTGATGGTGTGGTGGTTGATGTCTGTGTTTTTTGATGGTGTGGTGGTTGATGTCTGGGGTTGTTGCTTGGTGTGGTGGTTGATGTCTGTGTTGTTGATGGTGTGGTGGTTGATGTGGTAGTTGATGTCTGTGTTGTTGATGGTTTTGGTGGTTGATGTGGTAGTTGATGTCTGTGTTGTTGATGGTGTGGTGGTTGATGTGGTAGTTGATGTCTGTGTTTGTTTATGGTGTGGTTGTTGTGTGGTGTGATGTCTGTGTTGTAGATGGTGTGGTGGTTGATGTCTGTGTTGTAGATGGTGTGGTGGTTGATGTCTGTGTTGTAGATGATGTGGTGGTTGATGTCTGTGTTGTAGATGATGTGCTGGTTGATGTCTGTGTTGTAGATGGTGTTGTGGTTGATGTCTGTGTTGTAGATGGTGTGGTGGTTGATGTCTGTGTTGTAGATGGCGTGGTGGTTGATGTCTGTGCGTCTGTTGTAGCTGTGGCATTTCCTGTAGCTGCAGTAATTGATGACAGTGTGTCTGTCGTAGCTGTGACATTTCCTACAGCTGCAGTAAGTTGCCTCACTAGACGGGCTGGTGACTGAATGGATAACTAAATCCATCAGCCTATCAAGCGATGTCTGGATGAGGGTAAAACTGATCTTTTATCGACTCCAACACTTTTTTTCTGAGTAGTTTCTGTAGCAAGAAAGAATCACCCATTCACAAGGTATGCAAATGAAAACAAAAATATGTATAAAATGATGAGGCTGCAAAAATCGCGAGCAAGCCATGCAAGATGCAAAACAAAACAAGATAGCTCTAGGCCTTTCGTGTTGCAATCAATATATCAGGAGCTTGCAATGCTGTAGAAAAGAGGATCAAATCCGAGCAAACATGCTCGGATTTCATCCATTTTTTTGCAAAACTGCAAGCTCCTGATGATGTGATTGCAACACGAAAGGCCTAGAGCTATCTTTTAACTCCCCAGCCCCGTGCTTTTCTCTCACATCCAGAACTTATAAAGGAACAAAGCTTCAGATGTGAGAGCTAAAATAAATCTTTATGTATGACCTTTAATAGGGTTTAAATATGAAAATTAAGGCTGGTTCCTTTCTGTCATCTGAAGTCTAACTTTCAGAGATTTTTAAAGACCTTTAGCTGGACAATATTACTACTATTATTACTACTACTATAATTACTATTACTTTTTACTGTTACTATGCTACTATAATTACTATTAATTTATTATTACTATAACTATTACTACTATAATTATTATTACTAGTATCATTACTACTACTACTACTTAATAGTAAGGGTAATAATAACTAAGTTTAAAGTAATTTATTAGCTTTAAAGACTAACCACTACACGAGGGTCATCAAGGTTGGCAGGTCACTGTTTACTACCAGCCAAGATTACCATGATTCCTAAAACATGGATTAAAGTAAGATCTGAGGGTATATACACAGATATTAGGCAAGGTTCGTCAGGAAACAGGACAAGTGTTTCCTGAAGCAGGTCTTAGTTATACGATGACCCGCACCTGGAGCTTTTGATCATCTGACCAAGGCCTTCCACGGGCTTACCACTCCTTTAAAAACTAAAGTTATAAGTTCTAATCGATAGATAGTTACGCCTCTCGGTGTATAACACAGATACACACACACCTTAATGTATATTCCCATATCCTTTAGTATAAGCGAGAATGGTAATACTTACGTTGTGCAGCATCGCTGAAGTTAACAGGTAATAACAGCAGCACTACTGCTGTGTGGACTACCATGAGAAGCCTCGACATGTTCCCCTTGGATCTGTCTCGGGAAAAAACACACTTATGTACAGTTCAGGACATTTATTAAAGGAAACGTTTAACCACGAGTGACTTCTTCAGTCCTAATACAGAGATAACTGTTCTGTTCAAGATTCGCCGGTATAATCGGCCGTCCCGGGCCTTGTCCAAGTGGTGGCCCGGCCTAGGCTCCCTGTCGTGGGAGTGTCTCAGACCAATGTCTGCCATGGATTAGAGATTAGATTTTGCCACCGAAGTGGCTAGTTTGTTGTGCACCCATATCCATCCTGTGGGAGCAGAGGTTTAACGAAGAAAATGAGTATATATAATGGCAGGAGTCAGATGGAAAGTCGCGTGGGTAGTTGTAATACAATTGTAGTGAGACGGATTGGGTCTGAGAAGGTCCTGTCAACATTGTGTTACAGCGGCCTTCAGGAGGGGTAATATCCTGTTGATTAGCAGTTTGGATATGTCGTAACTACCGGACTTTTGATGGGTAGTGCTACCGACAGCAATTAGGGCAGTGTTCCTCCTTTCTTGTGTTCTTATGTTAAGTCTACTCAAGGAAGGTTCCTTGATGCTGGTGAGGGGCTCTTGATCTAGGGAATTGGATGTGCTTCAGTTCCCTGAGTTGAGTCTGTATAACTTCCATCCCCCTCCCGACAGGTGCTGTATATCCTACGGGTTTAACGCTCCCCCATTATAATAATCGTACGTTAAGTCCACTCCCAAATATCCAGACGTATTTATTCCATACTCCATCCCTCCGTCTGATATCCAGTCTTTCATTACCTTTTTATTCATAACACTCAGCTCCAGTCCAGGGGACTGGTTTAGCGCTTCCTTTTTATTATAATTGTGGAAATTATTTAATTTCCGAAGCTATAGTGCCTAATAAGTGTTTAATGTGTTGACTTGGGTCAAAATGTATTTGTTTAATTTGAATGGAACCAACTGGGTTCCCGCTGCGCCTGCGCAGATGTGCGGGGGTATAGGTCGAACTGGGGCACGGGGGGGGGCGGCAGTGTTTTGAATGTAGTGAGGAGGCTGTGAAAACCTGGGATCAGGAAATTGGCGTTCACGGCGGCCTAAGGATTAATATGGGCCTCACTTCATAATAGGAAGTGTCGTAACTGTTCCTGGTGAAGAGTGAGGGAACGTGATTTACGGGACCACCGTAAAAAGGTGGTAAAATTAGTGAATAATGGTTTGACCGGGTGTGACTGGTGCGCGGCCATGGTGTGTGTCCAGGGGAAATACCAGTGTGTTAATCCTCACTCATCGGCCTCAGATCTTAATGGAGTGACCTCTATGTGTATAATAATTATGAGACGTTAAATCGTCTTGTGAATGGTAATGTAATCAGTGATAATAACATTAAGTTAAGAGAATGCGGGATGTGAAATAGATCGCCCTGCTCCGAGTGAACGCGTGATTCTCGTACCGAGGATAGTGAAGTTTTTATGGAATCACGACTTCTAAACCGGGAAACAAACCGACGGATACCTCGTCCTGCTGGAATAAGAACCGTGTCGGTGTAGCAGGACATCGAAATGAGATGGTGAATGGAGGGATTAAGGAGTATCAATCACCCCCCAGTTAAGTAACCCTTCTAGTTATAGCAGACTGATACTGGCCAGTTAGGTATGTTGTAATTAGATGGGTCGGTTATGGGTGATCCAGCTACATCAAGTGACCACCAGAGAATATCTGGTAAGTGGTGAGATTATGTACAAGTGTTTTCCTTGATGGATATATCCATGTGTAACCTACCCCCCCCCCCTTCATTCAGTTAAACTAATATAATCTATACAGTCCACAATTAATTAGTAGCACCGTAAATTGTGGGTGCTATCCAATCCATACTGGTCTCGGATAGATATGGATAAGATTGTGAGGTCGAAGGAACCACCTGCCGTGACCAGGGGTGGTTAAGTTTTCTCACATGTCTACACGGGGTGACTACGGTAAACAATATGGTTGTCTCCCAATGAGTTTACTTGTAAGCATGTAATGTTGAGGTACATAAAGGTAATCACCCTATAAAATTTTCCATAATAATAATCCAGTCCAGGGGTCGGTGAACTTTTTTGGGTATTACCCCAAAACAAATTTGTATACAGAGAGATTACGCACTAGATTTAAAAATTAATAGAAAAACCAAGAAATATATTTATATGAGTGCTATCAGATATCTACAAATGGAATCTTTGATTCTAATGCAATATTTATTTAATAAAATTTTGTATAATTGTATTTATATATTTACTGAGCCTTTATTACCCGAGATTTTAATTTTTACCATATTTGGGGGTAATTAACCCCTGGTTTATTGACTGGTTTTAAAATACAGACAATTTGAAGATTAAGACACATGTACAACGAGGATCAGGACAGGATCATGATCGAGGATCAGGACAGGATCATAATCGAGGATCAGGATCAGGACAGGCTTCAAACCTGGTCCGACAAATGGCTCCTGGAGTTTAACTCCAGCAAGTACAAAGTTATGAAGCTTAGGGAAAGAAACAAAGAAGACTGCAGACGGATGTACAGGCTAGGGGATCAAAGGCTGCAAACCTCACTTAAGGAAAAGGATCTTGGGGTGAGCATTATACCGAACATGTCCCCTGAGGCGCACATCAATTAACTGCTATAGCATATGGGTGCTTGGCAAATCTAATAACAGTACGTATTTGCACATCTAAGGAGTCATTCACGACACTGTATGTTTGTGTACGTCAGGCTTATATTGGAGTATGCAGCACCATTATGGAACCTGTGGAATATTATTTAATTTCCGAAGCTATAGTGCCTAATAAGTGTTTAATGTGTTGATTTGGGTCAAAATGTATTTGTATTTTGAATGGAACCAACTGGGTTCCCGCTGCGCATGCGCAGATGTGCGGGGGTATAGGTCGAACTGGGGCACGGGGGGGTGGCAGTGTTTTGAATGTAGTGAGGAGGCTGGGAAAGCATGGAACCAGGAAATTGGCGTTCACGGTGGCCTAAGGATTAATATAGGCCTCATTTCATAATAGGAAGTGTCGTAACTGTTCCTGGTGGAGAGTGAGGGAACGTGGTTTACGGGACCACCGTAATAAAGTGGTAAAATGAGTGAATAAGGGTAGGACCTGGTGACTGGCGCGTCACCATGGACTGTGTCCTGGGGAAAATTACCCTTGGTTTAATCATCACTCATCGGTCTCAGATCTTAATGGAGTGATCTCTAATGTGTATAATAATTATGAGACATTAAATCGTCTTGTGAATTGTAATGTAATTAATGATAACGCTAAGTTAAGAGAATGCGTGAAGTGAAATAAGTCGCCTTGCTCCGAGTGAACACGTTAGACCTCGTTGTTCCCGTGACGAGGAAAGTGAAGTTCATTGAGTCACGACTTCTAAACCGGGACAAACCAATGGATACCTCGTCCTGCTGGAATGAGAACTGTGTCGGTGTAGCAGGACATCGAAATGAGATGGTGAATGGAGGAAATAAGGAGTATCAATCACCCACAGTTAAGTAACCCTTCTAGTTATAGCAGACTGATACTGGCCAGTTAGGTATGTTGTAATTGGATAGGTTATGGGTGATCCAGCTACATCAAGTGACCCCCAGAGAATATCTGGTAAGTGGTGGGATTATGTACAAGTGTTTTTTCCTTGATGGGTATATCCATGTGTAACCTACCCCCCCCCCCTTCATTCAGTTAAACTAATATAATCTATACAGTCCACAATTAATTAGTAGCGCCGTACTTGAGGGTGCTACCCAATTTATACTGGTCTCGGATAGATATGGATAAGATTGTGAGGGTCGAGGGGCCACCTGCAGTGACCAGAGGTGGTTAAGTTTTCTCACATGTCTACATGGGTGACTATGGTAAACAATATCGTTGTTGTCTCCCAAGGAGATTACTCGTATGCATGTAATGTTGAGGTATGTACAAGTAATCACTCCTATAAAATTTTCCATAGAACCCATACCTGGTCAAACACGTAAAGGAGAAAGTGCAAAAGTTTGCAACAAGACTAGTCACGGAGTAGTTAGGAAGTATTTCTTTAGCCTTAGAGTTATCAGGAAGTGAAATATCTGGAGAGTGAAATAGTGGAAGCCGGATCCATACATAGCTTTAAGAAGAGGTATGATAAAGCTCATGAAGTAGGGAGAGAGTGACCTAGTAGCGACTAGCGAAGAGGCGGGGCCAGGAACTGTGAATTGACCCCTGCAACCACATATAGGTGAGATAGACAGACACACAGACACACACACCACACACACACACACACACACACATACACACACACACACACGTGAAGCAGTATCGCTGAATAGTGCTCTTGTTCCAGGGATATAGAAGTGTAACTAAAGATTTTGAATTAGGAACCCCACAGGGAGGTGTGCTTAGTCCCACCCTTTTCAACATTTTGATTAATGCCTTACTTAATGCCATGCCTAGCCAGCCCCATCATTATATGGTTAGTTTTGCTGATGACATAATGATTCACACCACCGGATTCTCCAACACCTAAAACATTCTTAATCATGTACTAGCCTCGTGTCAGGACCTGGGGTTAATAATCTCAGGGGATAAAACAAAGATACTCAACAGACGTCCTCCTCGGCAGAGAGGCACAGTTCGTCAGATCCAGTTGCATGATGGGTCTCTTCTAGAATATGTAAGCAGATACAGGTATCTAGGCTTTGAGGTTCCACTACTTGGACCCGTTGTAACGAGACTTTGTCGCCAATACAAAGAAAGGCTGAGAGCACTTAGAGTTGTGGCAGGTTTTCATCCCAGGTATGGTGCTAATGTTAAAATTGTGAAAATGATGTATCTTGCTTATATTAGATCATTGGTTGATTATGCGGCGCCACTACTTGCACTCGTGTCTGACTGGAAGCTTGGAGGGCTGGAAAAAACTGCAAAACGAAGCAATGAGGATCATCCTAGGATGCCCTCATACTGCCAAAATTTTAAATATGCGGAAAGGACTTTCCCAAGGCATTAGAACTGT